AGGTTTGGGCGAGCTCAAGGTGTCGATGACTTTGGGCCAGGCATCAGTTACTTTGGTTGTGGGCAAGAGAGATCATTTCAGGCCAGAGGGGGAATGGGAACACGGAAGGGGGTGGAAGAGATTGGGGAGAGACGAACAAGCACAGAAAACGAAATGATTGGGAGGATAGGGTAATGGTATGGGGGAGAAGAGGAGGATGGATGGGAAGGTGAGTGAAGCGTGGTGATGGCGGAGGAGAGGAAGGTTGAGGAGGAGAATGGAGCTCGTTTGGAGTTGAATAGAAAAGTGATGGATTTGAGTGTGATGAGGAGCAGCAGGAGGGGGAAGGTGGCAAAGTAGGAGAGGTGGGAGAATGATCACAGAACAGGATGTGATCAGCAGGAGACGATAATGGTGAAGGGGGGGAAGAGGAGCACGGATGAGAGGAATGTGATGGGGAGAGGACGGTTAAGGAGAATGAGGGTGGTAAGGTGGAGAAGATCAGATAATTTTCTGGGGATGTATCTTCCCGGGGATGTGGCTGTGAGGAAAATGGCGATCATCAGCATGATGAATAGGGAGAGGAGGAGAAGAGGAGTGAGAGGAGGAGCTAGAGTGGCAGAAATCAGAGAAGGAGCAGGGAAGACAGCATGATCCAGTGGCCGAGCACAAGAATCGTGATGTTCCTGCGCAACTTATCCTACCCGAACTCTCCGATTTGGTGTGTATGTTGTTTTTCAAGTTGTCATCATCCAGTATGTTTTCATCCCCATCCATAAGGAAGCGAGATACAGGAAGAGAGAGCCTACGCACACGAAAACCGGGGTGGAAGAGGAGGGCAGATCAGGAGGAACGTGAACCGTGGTGATGAGAGGAGTGAAGGAGGGTTGAGGAGGACGTGCGAGTGGGTAAGGGGGCAGGGAAGACAATAGGATGGCCAGGTAATGAAGATGAGGAAGGGACAGGAGGCAAAGGAGACCGATGAAGGAGTAGGTGCACAAGTACATAGATAAACAGAGACATAGAAGATATGAACACACACACACACACACACACACAGACACACACACACACACACACACACACACACACACACACACACACA